TAAATTTGGTTTTTAAAAAAATGTCATTATAACAAGATTGTCATTATAACGAATGTCATTATAACGGGAGTGACTTGTATTCAGTATACTTATGGATCTTTTCAAAAGCATAACCTCCAAAATTCAACAAAATGAGTTCTCAGAATTATTTTTAAAAGTAAAAATCAATGATAAATTAAATTGTCAAAGTAACATGGAATTCTCATATTATCCATGTGGATTGTTTGAGGACGAGATGTGTTTTGTTTGTGGTGAACAATGTGAACAAGAGGATATTTTGAATTTTATTGCTGTTGTGATAATGTAGTGAAAAGAAAAAGCGTAGAAAACCACTCTTTAGTGGTCTTACATTTCACATTTTTGAGGAATTAAAGGGCTTGCATGACCAATAAAAAGTCCAGGAACTAAGTGACTTGCATTGTACTATATAATTGATTACTAAAATGTTAATTTTATAAGAATGTTTTTATTAATGTTATATTTATATAATATGAGGAGATAATATTATATTCACTAGAAAAATTTGCGGATTGAATATAAAAAAATTGTTGTATGAATATTATATATATGTAAATGTATGCATAACGGTTCACTATATATTAAGAATTATCCACCTATATATATATATGTGTGTGTGTGTAAATAAATTAATAATGATTTTAATAATTTTAATCAAATGTTTTCTTATTACAAACCTAATTGTTCAACCATAACATCAATGGAATCACCATCATCCATATCCAACTAATTATTAAAAAAAAAGATATAAATCATAAATAATGAAATAATTAATTCTTTTAAGAAGGGTATAAATACATACATCTGCAGGTGTGTTGTGGCTTTGTACACGATCACCATCATAAAGAAACCTAAGTGAAGAAGAAGATTTTCCTTGTCTCTCACAATAAGTATCCATAAGTTTTTTTAATTGTGTTGTTCTTTTGATCCTGAAAAATACTTCATTATGATCCTAATAATGATAAAAAGGTAATGTATTATTAGCATATAATGTATAATCAAATATAAAATAAATGCTACTATGCATCATTTTCAATGAGTTTGTCTTTCTTATTCACGCGTTTTATTCATAATTATTTTAGTTTCATGATATATATCATTTTTTATCTTAACACATAAATCATTTTCTCAACAATTATATAGGATATATGGTAAAGGTAACTTACGCTTCCCACAACTTTGATATTAATATGTTCGTCGCTTTTTTTGATGTCACTGTTATTTTTTTTATCATCGTTATTGTTATTTGTTTCTTCATTAGATGGTTGAGTTGAGTGAGACTGTTGTTTTTCTGACATGTTATTGATAACTTATTTGTTAATATATGTATAAAAAAGGCTTTGTTATTTAAATTAGGACTTGTAAAAAATTTTTTAAATGAAAAGGATTTACTATATATTACACGAAACTAATCGCGTTCGTTGTATTATTATATTAGGGGAACGCCATAATCACGCACATCAGAGGGCCCCGGATTATCATATGAGGTAACGTCCAGGCTGTTAGTATTAGTGAATTCGAAAATTTTACCCTTTTAAGCATCTACCATCTTCTCTCCCTTTTCTCGTTAAATTTAAAAACATGTGACTTCATATGTAACCATTGAAATAATAATACTTGGGTTTTTAATATATTATCCAATGTATCTTTAATAGTTGTTGATGCTCTTTATTTATTCTTAATAAACCTATATGTGAATCTGATATAATATTATTATTTCCAAGATAAAATAAAACATTATTAGTATTAGTAATAGGCAGAAAAGGAAAAAATCACAACTTTCTATATCATTCTAGTGACGTATAATTCAGGATCAATTTTGTTCATAATGATAAATTTGTACATAATAAATATCTGTTTCGTTTATTGCTATATCATTTCATTACAGCAAGAAATTGCGTTGGGGTTGATTCTGATTTAGGAATTGAAATGTTCACCAATAATATAATAAAATTGCTTTAGAAGACATTCAAAATCCATACATATTAATATTAAATATGTGAAGCAAAAATTTTAAAAATCCGTCATGACAAGAATTTAATTATTATTGTTATTATAGTCTGCTATGACAAGGTTTGATTGTACAAGTGAATAGCCAGTTTTATAATTAAATATGGCTTTCAATTAACCACAACTAGCTAGTTACAACTAATTGCGGCTAATTGCAGTTCCCGACCTTATTTGTCTTTATTCGTATATTGTCTGATTCTGCGATGCCGTAGACTTTTATACTAATAAAAAAAGTATAAAGGTTGGAAAATGTGAAATGAACAAATTAGTAAATAAAAAAGCTTGCTTTTTCAACTTCGGTTTCGGGTACTACAACAACTTTGGTTCTTTAGCCCCTTTTCATCAGGTGGATTTGGTATAATAGATTTAATATTTTCGGGTTCATTGAAAATTAAATTAATCTACCCATTCGAAGAGAATATAATTTGAAGACGAAGACTGATTTTTTATTCCATTACAAAAAGATAAAAAATTATAATTCAAGTTCATTTTTAAAAGAATAACATATTCAAAAGAACGTGGCCTCTTTATTTCCGATGATTCTGTCTCTGGACTTCTTTTCCTTTTCTTGATGAGAATTACTTTTTTATAATGCTTCTTTATAATGTTCTTTTATAATGTCTTTTTTTCCAAATATAATTGTCATTATTAAAATTGCTATTACACGGTTGGCGGAATTTTTATGTTTAAAAAAAAGATCAATAATTTTAATGATTAAAGAATTGTTACGCGACCATAAAAAATTATTATTATTATTATTTTAATTGATTATCCTTATTCCTTATACATACATACATTTTCAACGATGACAAATCAATCATTCTCTATTTTAATATATTTTCAAGATCAACAGTGAGTGATGCCAATCAATTGTTCTTTATATAATTTCAAGGTCAACAATGTCTTGGAATTACCAATATGTTTTCAAGAATGTGTTTTAAAAGGCAAAGGTGTGTGATTGTTTGATAATAAAATGAAATGTTGTCTGACTGTTCTGTATATATTATTTTCCTTTTATTATTATTATTATTATTATTATTACTATTATTATAGATAAGATATTTGATTGGATCAGACCAGATCCAATATTTTAAAGAACTAGATTGGGCCAATCTGTTCAGGGCCCATACTTTAGTCTTAATATGGATTAAAAATGGCAAGAATATCTTTACAATAATATTTGTCCATTTGTAAAGGATGAATTTAAAGATATTACTTGTCCAAACCAGCACAAAGTGTTGACAATTAACCCAAGTTGACTGAAAATTATTTCTCTTCTACTTTTTGTTTTTCTTTTCAGGTTCTTCATCTACCTAGTTAAGAGGAAGACAAATTATCATCAACACTTGAGTTAGCATTTACAAGTTGAAGCTGACTACCATCTGACATTTCAATGAAGAGTCTTAAAATGAGCAAGTGAATATAACTATATTTCCCCCTTTTTGAAAATGTAACAACAACTTGATGAAATAACTTCCCTCCAACAAAGACATTTCATCAAGTATCATTAATCAATTACACCAATCACCATTCTATTTATTGGACTAAAACGTCATGTTATTTGTAAGTATAAATATGCTTGAAATCCCCCAGTGAAAAAAAAATTAATAAATAATTTATTGATCTTTCAATAATATAATATCCTAACACTGATAATAAAAATAAAAATAAAAATAAAAATAACACTTTACATAAAAATAGCCCTTGACTATAATTAATTAATAAAGATGGTGTGATTGATTTATAACCCTTTCTGATGATTAATGAATGGTTTTGCCAATCTTTAATTATTAGTTAGAGTCCCTTTTTATTTTTACTATATTGCTTGTAGGAACGCCTCAAATATAGAGTTTCTATCCATAATACAAATTCTTATTTGAATTATTCATTTCAAATTATTTGTTTTATTTCAAATTATTATTTGTTTTATTTGAATTACTTGTTTTATTCAATTTAATTAGAATGCTTTTCTCAAAAAAATTTATCAAGTTCCTAACCATATTTTGCTGGAAATCACCCATATATGTCAGCGCCCTAACACAAAAAATTTCTGATGGGGCTGTGCAACAAAAATGTAATTAATGTAAGTGCATGTTTCATTACTAAAGTTTATGAGATGAGACTATTTTTTTTCGAGACTGGAA